TGTATTTACAATAATTAATTAAAAAATTTGGACATAATATAAAATTATAATAATAATTTTTTTTAATTATTTACAATAATAATAGAAAATTACCTTGTTGGGTGAATAACACCGGCGGCAAGGACCACGGAGCACCAGCGGCGGCGAGAGGAGCACCGGCGGCGGGGCAGGCGACGGTGGCGGAGGCAGCGGCGGGCAGGCGGCGTTGGCGTCGCCACCAACGGAGAAGGTAATTATATCTGTTATTTTGAATTTTAAAAATAATTTTTTTTTTTTAAATTTAACCAAAGTAAAAAAAAGAAAAAGTAAAAAGAAGAAGAAGAGCTGAGGAAGGGAAAGAAGAGTTGGGGGAAGAAGATGGGGTAGGAGAGAGATTAAAGACGCCGCTGACACCGGCGTCTTTAGGAGACGCCGTTGTCAGCGGCGTCTTCTGGTCAAAGGCGCAGTTCCCGAGGTGGAATGATCCGGCTGTCTTCATCTGGACCGTCGGATCAACTTGAATCAGCACCGTTGAATAATAATATATTAAAAAATAAGAAAATATTAAAATATTAAAAAATATTAAAATATTAAAATATTAAAATATTAAAATATTAAAATATTAAAATTATAATTTAAAACCAAGTTGAAGACGCCACCGGTGGCGGCGTCTCCTCCCGGTGCCGCCACCAGCGGTGGCGTCTCCGGCCGATGCCGCCGTTCACGGTGGCGGCCAACACCAATTTAATTTCTACTTCAAAAATAACCCCATTTTAAAAACTCCTAAACAAAACAACCCAAAAAAAAAATTGCCCCCATGATAAATTTGATGTTAATTGAAAGATTATTAAAATGTATGTATGTTCAAAATAGATGATGTTATCATACATCTAACAAGTTAAATTATAATTAGTTCTAATGATGCATAATTTTGTATGAACTAATAAAATATTGTAAGGACTATTAATAATTTATTAATTTATTTTAAAAGGGTCATTTAACATGTAATGAGAGAAATAGGCAAATTTAATTTGGTAGCTATAGTTAGTGTTTCGGTTGGATGAGAAGGCACATCTCTGCCGAAAGATGTATCTATCACATTTTATCAGTCATCTTTCAAACTTTATTTTCTTGGCGCTTTTTATAATACATTTGGTAGAATTTTAGTTTTTTTTTAATTAACTAATTATTTTAGTTTTTAATTTTTTTAATTTTGTACAGTCCATTATTTAGAAGCATGGGAGTATGGAGGGTGCACCCCGCTATTGTTATGTGTATTTATCCAATTATCCAATGAAATTTATTTGGTTGTGTAATGGATTGGAGGTATTTATATTAAATGATACATTTTATTATTTAGTTTAAGCTTTTAATTGATATGGTCATTCGATATGGTATTAGAGTCAGACCAAATGAAAGATTTTGATCGGTTCGAATCCCAATCCCCAATTCAAATATTTCAAGTGCAATGATTCAAATGTAATTTACCTGCACGTGAGGAGGCATGTTGGAGATATTTATATTAAATGATGCATTTCACAAATTAACTTCAACTTTTGGTTGAAGTGGTCGTTTAATATGATATGTTCGCTCGTGGAAATTTGATTAAAAAATTTATACTTAGATAATTGTAATTTTCTCAGTCCAATAATTTTTTTATTTGTATTATTTTAAAAATAAATATGCAAATAATAAAAAAGTTAAATACCCAATAAAGTTCACAATAATCCAATATAGTATGGAATACAACTTTTATGATCTATGTAACTTTTTTTTTTTTTCCTATCATCATCAAAACCATGATTTATACATGTATGAGTCGTCATCTCCATGTGAAGATATTATCATTTTGTATCTTGTTTGTGGAATCCAAAAATCCTTTTCTCTCCTCCCTAAATAAATGGGGATCTATCTTTCAATTTTTTCAATCCCCTCAAAAAGCCCATCTCAAAATCTTGGTATTCAATTCTTTTTTCCTTTCACATAAATTGATAATCATGTAATTAGATTAATATATAAATTAACATCAAGTTCTAACAAGAAAAAATGGTATTAGTAACATCCTAATTGTGACGATATTAAAAATTGTCACTAAATACATATATTAAGTGAAACTATTTCTTTTTTCGCTAATTATTTTTTTATTGTCAGTTAATCATTTTCAATTGTCACTATAGAGAATTAGTGACACTCCCGTGACAGATATTTTTGTCTAATCATATGAAAATTTAGTGTTGTCAATCGAAAAATTATTTTTTGTAGCGTAGACACTTATTTTGTCAGTTTTTCTTTACTTTTTCATGCCCATAAAAAAAAGGTGTAGTTTACTGGGAATTATAATTCCATTTTGAGTTGTAAGAGTAAGGTAAAACACTCCATCATTCGATTGTTGAATGTTATCTATTTTATTTTAGGTAGCCACCACAAAATTTTCTTTCTTTTTGTACTCCATTAAACTTTGAAATTAACTCATTTACCACTTTGTATAAGAATCATAATTCACAATATAGTATATTATTTTAGTCATCATTTTACTTTTTGACGAGATTAAACGAAAAAAACTGCAAGTGTTACTCAACGTTATCTCTACGAATGCTAATAAAGTTAAACTTTTACACTCCATTTTAATATTTTGTCTAAATAAAAAAATCATACGTATGTATATAGGGATATACCATCAAATATAAATTTGTGTGTAATATGAAATATTTCTTCTTAAAATTTATTTGGTAGATTTCACAATCTTTGTGATGTAAATGCTAATATCTGCACTAATTCTTGATTATACTATTGCCTACTAATTGACAAACCCTAACCCCTATGAGAAATTATTGATTGAAATAACAATTAGGGGCTGCCCAACAAGATAAGATTACGATTGAATTTGACTAGTAATTACATTTCTTGAAAAAGCCCTACATCTCTTTTCTTACGTTCAAACCATAGAACTTTGGTTCACATAATTGTGAAAAGAATATTGCATAGTTCTTTCACCACAATTTCTAGAAATCGGGCATTTTTCAAGGCACGAAACTTGTTTATTCTACGTTACGTTCTATCAAGTTTATCGTTTATTGGGTGATGATCGATACCCAACGTACGGTACACATGTATATTCATTACAGTGTTCTGAAAATCGGCCGAGAGACGGCCGATTAATCGACCTACGAGGCGGAGGCGGTCCAATACCTTTACAATTTTGGCGTATAAGATTTGAAAAATCGGAATTTGGTATGTAGGCGGGTTGAGACCATGCGAGACGGGTCGAACTTTAGTGACAAAAATCGGTTTTCAAACTAGTTTTTTTATCTAATTTTTTTTTATAATCCAAAAAAAAAAGTATATAGGTTCTTAATAAAAGAATGAGTTTATGCTTTGTTTTGTTTATATTAATTATTATATTTAAAGGAACTAATGATACATGCTTGCTATGTTCAAGCATATGTTTTAATGCAAAAGATTTGCATTTTATTTGTATTTTATAAGGATTTTTATTGTATTATGATCTTATTATTATTAAACTTTTGTCATCTGATTAGGATATATAAACAATGGGAATAGACCCGTATTTAAATATCTTTTTATATATGTTTTGAGTATTTACAAATAATATGTAGATATATATTATATTAAATATGAAAAATCAATTTATTTCCAATTAACAGTGAGGCGGTGCCTAACCTCCTCCGATCCAATTCCCACTTTTTACAACCTTGATTTATAAAAAAAAAGTTTAACAAAAAAATCTTGGGTACAATTTTTGGAATCTGTACACTCGATCTAAAGAATCCTCTAAAAATTAGTGAAACCCTTTTCCATAAGAGAACCCATACTACAAGATATAAATTTGATTGGTCTAGTAGCTCAAATTGCTTGGCTTTCGTATTTTAAACCCCAATTTAAAATAAATAGTTCAAACTTATTACAAAAGTTAACATGTAAGATGAGTACACTATACAATGATGAGTGTAACATGCATCCCTAACCTCAAGATGTTGTTATCCTCATTTGAATATTTATGAATATCTTGGGTTAAATACAATTTCCACTTCTGAAAATAATAACACTTAATAAACGTAATACTTAGTCCATCAAAGTTTTGATCAAACATTAAGAAATTATCTTTCTTTTAGATTTTTTGGGGCTGAAATGATAAATACAGAACCACTTCTAGTGAATGCAGGATATATGTTTTTCGACAATTCCTATGAATGTTGGTAATTTGGTTCCTTGCGGGCACCAGATCCAGGTCCGCTACCTTAACGGACTGTTGAGTTACCATGATTAACATCATTCCATCAAATACTTGTCGGGCCAAGGGATGGGGATCCTGGGGCAAGGGATTTCCCCTTATGGACTTTTGGTACAAGGATATATGTATTTCAATCTGACCTTTTAATTCAATCCCATCCATTTATCATGTTTCTAAGTCTCTAATTTTAAGCGAAAATCCTATAATTTCATTACTACATTTAAATTAATTTCAATATAGAGTTGTTGAAATTCAAAATTTAGATTGTAATTATTAACTTTTAGAACTTAAAAAAAAATTCATCTAAATTCAAAAAATATTATTTATCTTGAAATTTAGAAACAAAAAAGATTGTTCCTAAAATGAAGAGTTTATGGGTATATTTTGTTGGTCTAAAACACGAAAAAGAAAAGAAAAATAAAAGTGGAACATTCGACCTAGGAAAGCTTCACGAACATAGAAAAACATGTGTATGCTATAGAAGCAAATTCATTAAATTCGATAAAGTCATGTTCTTAGACCATAGTGATCAATGCCGTGAAATTCTGACAAAATAATATCGTTGAAATTTGAACACTTACATCACGTGTAAACAAAATGTCACGTGTTTACTAAAAATGCGTCATGTATTTATCAAGTCCCTTTTTGGGTTAATACAATTTGCATTTCTAAAGTATAGGTCCTGCAACACTTTTCCTCTTACTAGCATTCCTTAGCTTGAGAAATATTTAATTTGCGAATTTTTTTTTATAAAAAAGTGATATTCTTATAAAAACATTGAGAAATAGTGAAATACTATATCACTATCCCAAATGATCTAACAATATTTAAAATTAAAGAGAGTGTCAACATAATGTTTTGGATTATCGAAAAAATCTGATAGTATATATATATATACTATCAGATTAAACATTTAAAAGAAAAAAAAAAAGAAAAATCAAGCCAATTAATTTACTAGAATAGTTAAAAGAAAATTTTGGTTACTTACATTTCAATTTCCATAATCGGCATATTTAGATCGAAATTTTAGACGTCCAAGACGAGCTAGACTCATAGCGGTTTCTTATCTTTACTAACTAGTATCTGGTAATAAGTCGAATGACAAGCCAGATTAACTCCTAATTATGTAAAAAAAATGAGTAATTATTAGTTATTTTATTAACTAACAGCAAAGAGAAAAATTAATAATATTCAGAATCGTGTTAATTTCCATTTCGCCATTTTAACTTATGGTGAAAACAATAGTGTTTTTCGTCTCCCATGATTTTCATCAAAATTTACAAGTTAGTAGCCATATTTAGAGGTGTAAAGAGTTACCTGTATTCAGTCATGTAGTTCTTTTTGTTTAAATTTTTACATACAAAACCTATTTCACTTCGCTTTACTGTTTAGGTGCGTTTCAAACGACCATATTCGAACTCGATTTCAAAATAAATTAGGGTTGTTCCTACTCATTACTCAATAATGCATGTCGTAAAAAACCTTCTGAATACATAAAAGCATCAAAATTTTGTCACATAAAAGTCATGACTCGAAAAATTATACAAGTGAAACCGCCTCGACAAAGCACTAGCGAAGAATTGCATAGCAAGAATCTGCGTATAAGCGCTCTGGATTATTTGCCATGCAATTTTTCTCTTCTAGTCGAAAAGCTCACATAGTCTTGTAAATTGAAATGATGATGCGCTATATTATTAGTACCTTCCAATTAGTATAACTGTGTAATGGAGATCACGGTGAATAGTTTTCCCATTATTTTCGTCCGAATGAGAAAAAAATCATGCACGTTTTGTACGCTTCCCAACTTCAAGTGCAAGCTCCGTGTCGATTTTCAGTGAAATATCGAGGGCTTTAACAGAATGTGTTAGCGCACCACTGCATTTCAAAAGATTAACAAGTGATTAATAATTAGCTTAATCAAAATGGTTAAAAGACACAATGCCTAATTATTTTTTTGTGATATAGCTACACAAATGAGAAACCATTGCTATGTGTGTGACTAGAAAGAACTCTTACCAACATTATATAGAAACGGCACACTATATTTATAATTACATAAACAGATTAGTTCGTCGTTTAAATATAGAGCCAAAAAAAGAAATATGAAAAAAATAGAGTAAATGAATCAATTAGCTTATCGTTTCTTGATTAAATAAAGGGTGAAAATTTACGGAGGAAGTACCTGGAAATGTAGGTCACCCCAGATTGCCCAATCTTGTTTACAGTCTCGAGCGTCACATTCCCAGATGCCTGCCCACAAGATGAATCATATTAAAATCGAAATACCAATAATTAAAATAAATATAGATCTATATATATGGTAAATTACAACCACCCCCTGAGGTACGATCCAATTACGAAAAATCCCCTCATGTTGGGTAAT